TTCCGTGTGGTCAGTGTTTTTTTCATCCGGACATGGTTTGTCCCAGATGAAGTTTTTCAAAGTGTTGAAGTGGCACATCGGATTGTCTTTGGTTCTGGTCACCTTTCCTGGGAATGGAAGAATGCCTTACGATCTGTTCTTCATCCGTACTTTGTTGCGCTGGGATTTATATTTCTCAAATTATTTAGCATTGATACTGTCGAGACAGTGATCTATTTACCTCGTTTAATGCACGCATTTGTCTTCGGACTTTCGGATTATTGCTATTACAGTTTAGCGAAACGTCTTCTGACTCCAAATGGTGCGCGGTTTGCGATGTTTTCTTACTTGACTAGTTGGTTTGTATGCTATTGCGCTCCGAGAACATTATCGAATTCTTTAGAAACTGCCTTGATGTTGATTTCTTTTAAGTGGTATCCTTTTACTAAAGCTTCAGCTTCACTTCCTGTTAAAAGCTATTGGTTTTACTTGGTGGTAGCATTTTTTTCCATTTTTATACGTCCGACTGCAATTTTAATTTGGTTTCCACTGGGGTTATGGCACGTTTTCCGACACAGCAAACCTTTTCAGCTAATAATTTTCACTATATTTGCTGCATTTATTCCGTCTTTCTTAATAACTTTTGTACTTGATTCTTTGTTTTACGGTTTTCCAGTACTTACTGTCTGGAATTTTGCAAAATTCAATGTTTTTGAAGGTGGCAGTGAGCATTTTGGAGTAAACTCATTCCACTGGTACTTTTCAGAAGGTTTGTTTTCTGTTTTGACGGTTCATTTGTTCCCAGTAATTTTAGGAGTTTTGCTAGCATTAGTGAAACGAGAAGTTAGTCTTGTTCCTTTTTTACTGACAGCGTTTTACGTTACTTTTCATAGCTTTTTGGCTCATAAAGAGCATCGATTTCTTTTGCCTGTGATACCTTTGCTGTGTTTATACGCGGGGCATTTTTTTGCAACAGCGTCTCGACAGCTGTCAGTATCAAAGCTGTTTCTGTGCTTTACGCTCGTTACTGTCAACATTTCGTTGGCGTCATATTTTTGTATGTACCATCAGTCAGGCCCATATAAAGTTTCCGAATTTATTGCTTCTGATGCTGCTTTAAGAAATTATTCTCATATTGGTGTACTGCAGTTGATGCCATGTTACTCTATGCCGCAGTATTCACATTTGCATGGATTTGATTTATCTGTTCGTGCTCTTGATTGTTCTCCGAACTTGAACCGTACAAATTCCTATGTTGATGAGGCAGAAAAATTTTTTAGTGGTCCAGAAAATTTTGTTTCTTCGACAAATGTGCTTTCGAATGCCACATATGTTGTAGCATATTCGAAAATGTACGAAAGATTGCTTCCACTATTGGAACAAGCTAATTTTACTAAACGTGAATGTTTTTTTCATGCTCATTTTCTGACCTCAGAACGTCAAGATAGTCGTATATGTATTGGCCTTAAGGGTTGATGTTATTATTTGCTTTGATGTCATTGTTTTTTCGTGAAATCATTTAGTTCAAGATTTATGTAATCTTTTCTATCGAAGCCCAGTTAATGCTTTAGTACAACTTTGTTTAGTGTATCGTGTCTTTTTTTTTTCATGCTGAAATAGCAGGACTGTTCGAATTGTTTTTAATTTTATTTTCTTATGATCTCAGCATTTCTCCTCACTTTGACAATGTTCAGTGTAATTTTGCGTATGTTGTTGTTTTTTTGAAATGATTCTCTTTTTTGTTTATTTTGTTTATTGACAGCGTTTGAAGGTGCATTTTATTTGGTTATTTATTTTTCTGTAGCAGTTATCAGAGCTGCTACTGCATTCAATTTGATCAAATATTGAAGTAAAATTGTTTAAGGCTAGCGTACGTATAATGGATAACACCAGTTTCTCATCTGAGAATTCAGTTTTACATAACGTTGACAGTCATCGTTCAGCATAGAGTGTTTGGTTGGTGGTGAAGTTAAAATTAATTTTGCTTATGCGTTTGTGTGTGTGTGCGTTGTCTTTATGACAACGATATTTTGTGGTTCTGAACTCACATAAACAATATTTTATTACATTAATTTATATAAATAACAAAAAGGATTCGCTATCACACTATATTATAAATAAACTATGAAACTGCAACTTGGTCTAGTTAATTCTTTTTTTTTTTTTTTTTTCAGCAACATGAGTTTTTAGTTTTTTAGCAGTTTTTTTTAGCAGTTCGTTTTTTTTTTTTTTTTTCCAATTTGTTTCTACCGTAATATGACACAAGTAAAACTGAAAGTTTGGACCAGTGGGGAAGTGTTGAATGACACACGGCTTTTTTTTTTTAGTTTTATACTTTTTCACTCATCCTTTTTTTTTTTGCCTTGGAGGGTACTGTCTATCTTTTTAATGAGGAATAAGTGGTCAGAAGAAAACATAAACTATATCAAAGAGGTTTTTTTTACAGTTTCAGTAGTGTTTTGTTAAATGCAAAACTGCTAAATTACAGGAGGTTTGAACAGCTGGTAGAACGGAAGGTAATGCTGGGAGATGCCAAATGAGCGTTCATTATAATCTATTTTGAAGCTTTTCGTTACACTTTTAAAACTTTTTGAAACCATTTACTTCCATTTTTTGCATCTTTTGTTTTGCCTTGATTATAATCCAGACATTTTTGCCGCTACATGTTTTGCCATTACCCAAACTTCCGAGGTCGATGACGGCGCAACCAAAAATTTTCAGCTAACTGATACTGCAAGAACTATTCGTAGATTAGTAGGTTGATTCTCTGTTGAGAGTTCAAAACTTTTTCTAGTGTTGCAACTTTGATACTCACTACCGGTAACCGAGACTGTCAAAACCAACAAACCTCATGTCATCGGTCATGAAGAGGTCGTTACAGCCATGAAGGTCGTTGTAAGAGTTTGGTGATGTTATATCTTCGAGCAGTAATGATTCGAAACCTCCCTAGAAGTAATCTGTTTTTGGTCCAATAACATTTTTAATTTATATGCTTATCAGTATCGGCGAATCTTACATGGTCCTGCAGTGTTGTGCCTTCGAATAATAATCCATCGTCAAGATCTGTTTGGGTTTCAGAATCTTGTTTGGATTTTTTAACCGAAATGGCATTACCGTTTGCAGGAATTCGTGGTAGCGGTGGGCTGATTGACTGAAAATATTGAACGCAATCAAAGTCGTGGTTCAGGTCATAATTTGAATTCTAGTTTTGACAATTTCAATAAGTTGAAGGTACCTGTAGTGATATTTCGGCTGGATTTTCAAAAGTTGGTGGTGACGATGAAGATGGTACGGGTTCTTCCAATTTCGCACATACGTCACCAAACATCTCATTCAGTATATCAGTGCCACTTTTTCGGGCTCCAAAAAGTTGGACAAATTGAAGGTTTTCACTCATAATCCCCGAAAGTGTCTGGAAGGGCAACGTTATGGTTGACTTTGAGCAGAATTGGAATCGTAAGTAGAGCAAAGGTTGCTTTTAACATTTACCATAATTGTTGGCAGTAAAAGCAAGAGGTTCCCGAAACGTGATGAGCAACTGGTTGATGGTGATGGCATGTACTCTTTGACAATCTGATATAATGTGTCTTGTACCTTGTCTCGGAAATTTGATATAGCCTGGCGTGCGTGTTGCGACAGACCTTTCGCATCTTAAAAAAATGGGAGTTGAATTGCTGTTGAGGAAGCTGTAAAGAAGAAAATGCAAAATTCGTCATTATTTCAAATATGTTAGTAGGGGGCTGGACGCAAAAGTTATGCGATTTTTTTAATTCAAAAAAGATTAGGTATTCAAAAGATGTAATCAATCGTACATGGGTTAAGGATAATAATGGCTTTTAGCGGAACCAACTCGAATTCGCTAAGTTTCAGCTTTCTTAGTGGTTCCACTAATTCGTTGAGGGTTCTATCAATCAGATTATCGGTGAGTTGGCTGAAATTATGAATTACGGTTTACTGGCAGTGAGTCATAGTTGCCCGGGCGAATAATGAATTATAATGTGTTTTTAAAGTTGAACTTATGATCACTTTCTTTGAAAATGTAGAATATTTCATGGGGAAGCGGGGTTATTGGTGTTGTCGCACACTATTCTGACTTTTCAACTTAATCTTTTTACCCATAGTTTTTGGAACGTCGGAACAACCACCTACTTTGTCTGATTGAATTCAGGAGGTAGTTTTCGAGGTACAAAAGAAAAACTGCATAAGCAGAGGATGTTTGGATCGTCGGTATTTTCGGCGGTCCTTGCAGAAAAATTAAAAATAGTAAGCGGCGAGTAGCACGATTTAACTAATGCTACCTGAAATTTGAATTAAATTAGCATTTTTTAAAGTTTCAACTTGCTTGCCGCTAAACTATTTATCGTTACATCTAACCACTAAAAATGGCTATGTGAAAAGAACGTGGCAATTTAATTAAAATATTGTGTTTATTGCAACCTTATCTTCAGTATCGGTAACATTAGCCAATTCGGAAAGCGAATCTACCCAATCTACGGCAGCAATAGCTCGTCTATGCGCAATCTCTGGTAGCTCTTCAATTTTGGCCATCCTAATTGGTTTGTACTGCATCTGAAAAAGGTTAATCAGTACAATCAGTTCTTTATTTAAATTTTATTCAATTTAACAATTAATTTGAAATAGAAGATCAAGTCTTTACCTCTGTACGACGACCGTTCAGTATCGGTTTCCGTTCAAATAAATCCCTGAGTGAAACATTTTTGGCTAATGTATTATAAGGCGAATAGGTTGGTGTATCGCCCTTAACAACTTTTTGCTCAATCGCCAATAACCTATATAGAAGTTCCGCAGACTCGGATGGCAGTTTCTTAATCCATTCATCTCCTTGTAAACGCCACTATAAAAAAAAACCTGTATTTAAATTTCTGAAGTACTGAAAACATTTACTACAGATATTTGTGGATCTAATATTTAGCGGAACTTTTCAAACGATTAGCTTTGCATCATTTTTTTTTCAAATAGCCACTTATGCTTATTAAAAGGACACTTGCCACACTATTCAGAAGATCCTCGTTTAACTGCCTTTTTCGTAACCTTGGCACCTTTTGTTTTCCAGTAAGGTCGCGGTCCGGTCTTACGGCTGAAAAGTTGAGAACATTTTAATTTTCTAGAAATTTTACACCTATTGCCGCAAAATTCTACAGCAGCAAACGATTTCAAAGCCTTGTCAGTAATCTGATTCTGTCGTATCTTTAGCTGTTTGTTAAGTTAAATATCAGACAAGTGCTAAACGGGACCTGTTTTCTTACCTTTTGGATCCATCCCGACGGCTAAACATCGTTGATATCTACAGTACCGGCAGCTGTTTCTTTGGTCTGAAATAGAACAATAACTTTTTAATGAAATCATTGGTTGATCATTTCATAACTACCATTCCAACAGACAGTGATATGGCGTTGCTGATTAACAAATAAAGAAGAAAAGTCTAGTAGAACAGTTACAGAAGCTATATTTACAGTCGCTATGTCAGCTTTTTTTATTGTTTTAAAGAAGTTCATTGAACAGAAAAAATCTGAGAAAAAAAACGAATTTTTTCTAGCCATACTTTTTCACCAATCTGTAGTCTTAAGAAATGTTTTACAACAAAGAGTAAATAAGTGAGAAAAAACACTTTTCAGAGTTGAAAAAAATTTTAAGTTTTTTTTAGTGATTGTTTTTTTGTTTCATTTAATATATATCAGTTAGGGGGAGGAAGGGGTTGGAAAAAAAGGCAAAAAAAAAGGAAACAGGAAGAAAGCAACACAGAGCAAAGCAAAAAAAAAAAAAAAATCGTTCTCTTATTTTGCCACTAAC